CAAAAGCAAAAAAAAAAAAGGTAAAGAAGACGAAATGAATCGAATGATGGGCAAGTCAACTCAACTCAGCTCAGTTCGGCTCAACTCCAGTCAGGCGGACTTCAAAGTCGGTGTGGCTGAGCTCTTCCTTAGACCCCCCTCTACTCCTCCCTGTCACGATCCACACACAGTAGCTGTCAAAGATATTTGTATTTCATTTTGACTGACTGTCTGAGTGACTTGAGCAGCGGATTCAAACGAAATTGGAGGCCAAAAAACAAACACAGTAGCTGCCTAAATAAACGCCGACCAATCAGGTAAGCCCCCGCAACACTGAAACCAAAATCTATATAAGCCTAAAAAATAAGAACTAGTTTTTAATAAACGAAGACGTCTTAATTCTATGCCATTTTTATGAGTTTAGTTTTTGAATTAGAAACTTATTTGCCTTGGAAGTAAATCCAGTTTAAATATACTAAAGAAACAAATTATTTTCCTGAAAGACAAAATATATTTAAAAATGAATCATTCGATTGTTAGGTGCATAGGAAGGATTTTATACTTCTAATTACTTTCTAAGCTTGTTTTTCCCCCAGTGCAGATACTGGAGAGCTGGTGATTTAAAATAAATATTGGTAGCTGTCACATTGACAGCAGGCCAAATGTGATTGTTCCCTGATTGTTGACATTTTCGTGTGCTACCGTTCTCGGCGGGCAACGCAGGCTCTGGTCTGCATTTCGGTATAAACTCAAAGGGATTCAAAAGATATTAAATTGTCGGCGATGCTGCGCCGTTCTTGTCGCATTAATAAGTCTTCGAGACTTTGAGACTCATTCCCTTTTTTTTTCCTTTTTTTTTTTTCAATTTCCAAACCGATGCCGAGTGGGGCAACTCAACAATGAAAAATTTCAAGCTGTTTTTAAATGTTTTATTGGCTTTTTAATAATGTTTGCACATCAAACGAGGCCGCCGAAACTCAGCCGTTGAGCTTAACTTTGGAACCGACTTCAAGTCGGGGGTTTCGAGGGCTTCTGTTCGATGTTACGCTGGCTCAGCTGAGAGATACAAAAAGGAAGATATAAATCCTCAAGTGACATGGAGCCGAGCTCCTTTTGTGCGAGCGCCCCGTTCAAAAGGATTATAGTCGTCTTGATTTATGTGACAAACGCCCGTTATAAATTATTTTAAATTAGTTGAGAATTATGAGCGCCAGTTTCAACTCGAGTTCAGTTGCGATGAGTTGTGTTTTTCGGTCATCTATGCATGTGCCAATAATTTATCGGATCGGCCTTAAAGGCTTTGATTTGATATATAGGAGGTGGGACATAAAGAACAGCTAACATGATTTTGAAAACCTTTAAAGCTCTTTTTTGTTTTTACGTATTTTGTTATGTTTATTGAACTGCCCTGCTTTAAATTAAATACTCTGTACTTTTGGATTGCTTAACTTCTTTTTTCCAACTGCTGCTTTTGAAATCCCTAAGCCCCTGGGATCGTCGCCTTTAACATTCCAGAGATAAGTAGAAAATGTTGCCAGGGCCTGCAGTTTACCCCCACTGCTCCACTTCGTGAGGCGAGTGCCAAGTGTAATAGAAATAGTTATTAAGAGCAGTCGACGACAGCTGGCTCGGCTCGGCTTGGCTTGGCTGGCGTCTATCGGGGAGTTTATGACCAGGACGACGGGCCCCAGGACATAATATGGAAGATAACTGCTGCGGAGAAAGCTCGCAACAATTTATGGCCAGAGTCACATATGATCCATGAAATGTCATAAAACTGCAATTGCGACCAAAAATTATCGAACATTTAGCAAAAGCGTTGGGGCTTAGCCATGGGTGGTTAGTTTTTACGATTCCCGCCAGCCTGATGGTAGATATATATAGATATATGTATGTACATATGAAGGGAGAAGGAACCTTTTGTTTTTTACGACCGACGGCAGGAGACGTTCTCTCGTTAAGGCCATTCACACGTACCGCACTAAAGGCACTGATACACATAAGGATACACTCGTTTGTGTACTTTCTATAGTGTATGGGGGGTACTTTCGACATTGGTCAACCCCCCGGGACAGGGTCACGTTTTGAGGATGGTCGTAAATTTGCTGACTCGTTTTTATTTCAGTTTGCTACGACGACGAGTCTTTCGTTATTCGGTTTATTAGTTGTCACAAAAGTCTCTGTCACTCTTAAGTAGTTGAATAAACAGGAAACGAATTATGACAGAGCGTTAAATGACCACGAAGTAGGGTACACGGGGTGGTTCAAAAACTTAGGTAGCCATCTAGTTCGAGGGGAGGGCGCATTTCCAATTCCCTGAAACGGAAAGACAATGGCAGTGCCTTCAATGGATCGACACTTCCGCTCACTTGAATAGGAACAATTATCCCGGAGTCGAGATCAATAGATCGATATCCGAGAGAAAGCAGTTTAAAAACAGACTTTCAATTCTGATTCTCTGGGGACGCTTCCGGTTCAATTGTTCACTCAATTAAATTCTAATAATTAGCCAGCTGAATTTTTCGACCGATTGTTAAATAAGAGTTAGAAATCTATTGTTAAACTATTACATTAAAAACCATTTATTTGTAATATCAAGGGAATTAATAACGACATAAATAAGAAATGTTCAGATTGCACACAAGCATTTCAACTATTCTAGTTTCATTTTGACCCACATTAAAAAGAAGTCTTTTTATTTTTTCTTAAAAAAGTGAAAACACAATATAATTGTCCAGAATAGTTGTTATTTCTAGACGTTGTTTTTTCTAGATAATTATTGAGTTAACATTATTGAAAAGGGAAAGCTACAAATTAAAAACAAAATTAAAGTCTGGGTTTTCCTATTTCCAATCAGCAACTGGCTTCGGTTAAAATTCATAAACGTGCGTGGGGTCGTGTGCCCGTCGACCTGGGGTCACTCCTACATATGTAAATTACAGAACTGTGAACAGCGAATGTTTAACGCTGGCCCACGCTAACTATCAGTTAACTAAGTGGAAGCTTCGGTTAACGAGCTGCCAGTCAAAGTCATTCAGTCAGCCGGGCAGCCGGGCAGCCAGGCAGCCAGTCATGTGTGAAAAGTCGGTTGTTGCCACCGCAAAAGGCGGATGGGGAGCAGCAGGTGGGTGGGCGGGGCATTCCGGGTGAGAGGAACGAACCGGTTCGAGGTTGGCGCCTTTTGCATTGAAATTAATTTAGCTAGCTTTCAATTATGTGCCACAAACATTCATGCAAGCGGCATTCGCCGACTAGAGAGTGGGGAGCAAGTACAGTGCAACCTATGTTTGAATGACATACGCAGGTGGGTTAAACTAATAATATAGAAATAAAAACATAAAAAAATCAAATTTATCAGCAAAAGTTCCCATTGTTAACAATGTACTATTAAAAACTAAATTGACTATTCAATATATTTAAGATAATAAAATAGGTATATTAATATTGTAAACATATTTCAAAATATGTATATACTGTTTTAAAAAAATATTTCCAAATATGATAAATCAGTTTGTTAAACATGAAACAAGATCAAAAAATTAAATCTGAACCTTCTCCTTGAAAACCCAACAGTTATAAAGTTTTTCAAGGCGATTCCTATCCCTTCACCTTCGATAGATTTTCTCCTCGATAAATGTGTCTGCCTGCTGCTGTTGCCTGTCCATCATAGGCAGATAGCACTGTGTTCTGAAACTGAGATACGATTCGGTGGTGCTGCTGGCTGACATGACAGGCCTGACAAGCCCGAACAACATATTGACATTTTTGCTATACATTCCACACGGCAGGGGTGCCACAAGAATCAAAGGGGGCGTGGCTGGCCGCCTCCTTCAGAACCTGGGGCCACGACAACATGTGCGAGTGTTTATGTCGGCGTGTCAATTTTCGTTGTTGACGTGTTGCCGCCTTGCAGAAGTCTCCATGTCTCCCGTCGCCTGTATTTTCCCCTCCATACCATAACCTATTAACGATCCGCATAACGCCACCCCAACAACAACAACTACAATAGCAACAACAACAACTTTGACTTGCCCGTCGTCGATGTCGTAGTATTATTAAATTTTACTTTCGCCACTCAATATGGGAAATGTCATCTGTTTATGATGGCTTTTTGACATGTCTCGTTATTGAATATGCTCTTGGATCCATTCCTTTCGGGTTTGTTCCTTTGTTGTCGTCTCCTAGTTTTGATACCCTTATGGATTATATTCAAATTTTGGAATATACAACTTCTAAATAAAAAATTATTAAATAATCAAATCCTCATTTTATCTTCCTTATATTTAAATAAATACTAAATATCTGGCTTTCATAACAATAAAGTATAAATATTTAAAAGGATTGATCTTCATTAGTGTATTTAATGCTTCGACTCTAGAAAATGTTTTTTTTTTTTTTGTTCTAAAATAATTTTTTTGGGGAGGCGCTGATGTTTTTCTTTTTTTTTCATTTGATGCCGACAACTTTTGATGTGTTTTCAATTTTGCGGTTTTCTTTTTTTAAACTTTTAAACTCCTGTCTCCATGTCTTAAGCTGTTGACAAGCAAAAACATTTTATTTACCTCTCCATACATTTATATATACATATATGATTTATTCCTTAACTGATAATTAAATATTTACAAGATAAATAAAACATAGCATAATATATAAACAAGAGAAGATCGTTAATATTAATTGATAAAAAATTAATTAAAAAACTATCGTATCAATCACTTTACCATAAAGACAAAATTCCCCCGGTGTTCAGTACCAACATCGATTTATATCTTTCCTTTGTGGCCGTTGTTTCTATTGTAGCCATCTCTCGGCAATCCAATTGAGTCGCTTTCAATCCAACTATCAATCATGCGGGAAACAAGTTATATCTTTGTGCCCATTCAGGTGGCCCCCTTTGTGCCCCGTCGATCCCCAGCAGATCGGAGCATAAGTGGGCGCTTAGCCCGAGATGTACGACGACGAATCCAATAAAAAAGAATGAAAAAAGGTCAAGTGACTGACAGTAGCCAGGCAGCAGCAACAGCAGCTACTTACTGTCAAGATGTGTCATAAACACATCAACTTTACTGTCGAAACAAATAAAAATATAAACTTTGACACACACAGAAGGCAGAAGGCAGAAGGCACTCAAAGGCAACAGCAGCTAACGAAAATCAAAGCGAATTGGAAGAGGAGAGACGGCTTTCTGGTTTTATTCTCTAGTCTCAGGGGGTAAGTCATAACGAATACATTTTATTTCCACAAAATTGCACTAAAAATGTCATAAAAAAAGAAACAAAAATTTGAGTGCCTGGTGGAAACCGAAATCAATTCTGGTAGCTGACGGAATGCGACAATTACGGAAGACGAGTCGTTAAAAATTAGACTAGAAAACCAACAAAATAAAACAACAAAAAAGAAGGGAAAGTCAAATGAGTCGCTAGTAAAACTTGTTGTGGAGTCATTAAGGCGAAACCCTATAAGACACTGTCCGTGAATTCCCTTAAGTACCTGATGTCGAAAGGCCGTAAAATTATCTCACTATAAAATTTAAATGACTTAAATGGTGTCCCATTTCCACACACACCCTGTCAATAAATAACAGCTCCACACAATAAAACCTTAAAACTTTTTATGTATTCGAGATTATATTCGACATTTTTAGTGGCATTGAAATCAATTTTCGAATCGTTAATCTTGTAAATTATGCATGTCGCCTGTCGGATGGCGTCATTCCGGTGAGATTTTTTTGGAGCCACTAAGCCACCAACTTCTAGATGGCTGTCTATCTGTGTGATATGGAACTTGAGTTGTTTTTTTCGTTTAACGATCGAACTTGTAACGAATATGTCCCACGTCAGCTCCAAAATTAATGTGGAGCAACTGCAACAAGTTGGTGAGCTTATAATTTATAAACCACACAAATTTTGTTTCAACCTTGGTAAATAAAATTGCTGTATTGTTTTATTTTGTCGGTGCAATAACACATATATTTTTCTCCCATAATGGCAAATGACAACTGTCAAAAAATTTCAATAGAACGGAAAAAACTCTTTAAAAAAAATGGCAAAATGTTGTAAGACCACAAAATCTGCACACGTAACCTGGACAAAATCCCCTGGTCAAAGCGTTTCCAACCCTCCCGACCAGAGAAACCTCGCCTGACACATGTAAATGCGTGCTGACAGGCAGAAGGGAAAAGAATAAGTACAAAACCCGACCGAAATAAAAGAAAACTGTCAACAAAATTAATGTCATGCGTGTGCAGGGCAATGAAAAATTATGGGCTGGCTTTATGTCAATAACAAAAGGGGACCGACACGCAGAAATCCAAGAGTGCAAAAACCATGTTGAAGCATAGCCTTAACCGGCAAAAAACCTGGCCGACATACCAACAATGATTGATTTGACAGGACAACAATGAGTGACGAGCCTGGTCTATGCAAAAAAAAAAAAAAAAAGGGGGATACTTCAACCCACAACAAGTGCAAATGGTTGTCAATTCGCATGTGGACGCCTCGGGTGCATGCCCACTAATGAAGGCAAATAATATTAATACTTTTCGAGAGCGTTTGCTCCTTTTTCCTTCAGAAATATTATTTTCCAGCCATTTGTCAACATTTGTCAAATTTGACAGCACACGCCCGCTAACATTTTGCCCCTTTGGCGATGTTTGCAACTCCCCTCCGACCATCCATCCACTCATTCCCTCATTTATCCATCCATCCATCTATCCATCCATCCATCCATTCATCCACCCCAGTGACATTGACAGCTCTCAGGGTGCCTTTTTCCGTTGGGTTGGAAAAAAGTTCTGGGCCCTTTTACGCGAAATTAATATCATGTACAAACAAAAACAACTGAGCCAAAGTACTTATCATCACCCGGAAACCAAACGACCAAAAAGAGGCATACTTTTTGGATTGGATCGAGGAGGTGTTCAAGGGTTAAGAGGGTTGACCAGCCCCTTGTGGAAAGGAAGTGCGTTGAAGTGATGTTGGTAAATGTATAATCGAAAAGAATGTGAAGCCGCTTTTCAAGGATTTCAATATATAGTTCAACGCTTACATAAATTTCAAGCTTGTTATAAGTTTGGAAATTATTTTAATACAGATAAAAAAAATTAAAATCCTTTCTAAGCTCTCATAAATTCTTATAAAAAGATTGCATACTTACTTCACTGTTCTATGAAAAATCAATAATTCGGTAAGTAGAATATGACTTCTAAAATAAATACGGTCTAAAACTATCAACACCTTTGGTAAACTGATGAAAGGGGATGCTTCCGAGTATTTTATCGAACCAATAATAAGACCAAGCTCCTGCCTTGATGTCGATATAAAAACCACACAGCGGTGTCGAATTTCGAACAGATTTCAATTCGATTTTATTCGATTTGGGTCGCGGACAAGGGGCTATCGGCAATCCCACTTCCTCACGCCCCATCCTCAAAATCATACCATATACCATATATACACACATCCTCCATAATTTCCAGACCCCGAGGAATGGCAATGGCAAAAGGGGTGTGTTGAAGGGGGTGGTTTTTGCGGCGGCCGTGAATAAAGCGATTTGTCTTCTTTGTTGTTTACGTTTGGTGTTATAAATTCTCGTTCCGGGGACTTGGACGTACGTGCTACGGTCGCCGAGCGTATATGAAATTGCCTAAAAATTATTTGTGCATAACAGGGGATAATCATAAATCTGGCTAATTGCACTTTATTGGGGTCGCTCTCCCCGGCCGAAATGCCATGACCAGCACAGCCAGCCGGCTGACTGGTGGTGGCTGGGCTGACATCGTTGTCTCGGCTCTTAGGGCGAAATTGAATTTGACATGCCGCTCACAGGCATTAAATCTGAAAAATCCCCCCCGCTGCCCCGGAAATGGCAACATATAAATTTACAGCTTTCTGACGATTCGGTGACATTTGATATGGCTAATGGTGTTATGACACTCACTATTCGCCTTTCATATCCAGTTTAGGCTTGTAAGTTTTTGACGAGGGTCTCGGTAACGTTTGAACCGTTACAAAATTTTACCATTAATAGTTCTTACTAATAAAACTTTGAAAAAAGTTCTACGCGAAATATTTTAAACTTTGTAATGAAATGCAGAAACTGATTTAAAACAGCACTTCAAAGCTAATATTATTGATTATATTATTGTCCGATTCCAAAGTGGCATACCTCTAAACGTTTGTAATCGCATTCCTAATCTAACTGCATTCAAAGTTTTCCATTTATTGATGGTCGAATTTTTGACCCCTGTTCATGTCCGATTTTTTGACTTTACCGTGGTTTGCCAAAAGGAGACCCAAAATAGCACCTCTGTAAGCCATATCCCTGACAATTTTTGTGCGATTCCAAAGTGGCGTTCCTCTAAACGTTTATAATCGTATTCCTAATCGAACTGCATTCAAAGTTTTTCAAATACTGATGGTCGAATTTTTGACCCCTGTTCATGCCAGAATTTTTGAGTTTTCTATGGAATAGAGGATGGATCACCCAAATCGGGATCACCAAAACCTCTAGCTTCGACAATTTAGGTCCGATTTTAATTAGAATCTTCAAAGAGCTTTGTTAAAAATCAGTGTCAGGTATAATTTTTATCCTAAGCATTTGCAGTTCAACAGAATTTTTTAAATACTAATTCCTAGCCATTTGCACAAAGATCTTGAAATTATGACCTTATGTTCGGATTTTTACGAGAACTATTATCACTACCCACCGACACATCTGATCATCATCCGCCGAACCCATGAGCGTCTTTATTAATATCGTTATGATGATATACCAGGCGGTGAAGGAGAGAATGGTTCCCCCATTAACATGAGAAACGAGAATTGTAGTCGGCACATAATTAGGTGAGTGTGTTTTCGAAATGAATATGAATATGCACCCGGGGCAAAAGAGCAGCGCCGGAGGAGAGTCTGGTTCTCCAGTTGCAGCCAAGTGGAGAGGCCACTGAGCCGCACAACAACCACCAGATTTTGAATAAATTTTGAGGGAAAAACCGGTGAGATGGACGGCGAGGAAAATCAAAATGAGGCAGAAGCCAGCGGCACAGATTCCGTGTGTAGTAGGTAACGTGGCTTTTGATCTTTGCTGCGTTTGTTTGTATACAATTTGATGGCTCGTGTTGATGGATCGTAAACGTGGAATGATGTTCGCGCTGTTGCTGCTCCTTTCGAGCACTGCTGCCCGATGATGACGATGATCAACGCAACGATGACGGCACAGTGTGTCTTTGATCATTTGCCGCGCCAGTTGGCAGTCAAAATGTTAATTTATATGTTCTGCTCCCGCCTACAATCGACAAAAAAAAAAAAAACAGGAAAAAAACTGAAAGGAAAGGAAAGGCCATGCCAGCCCATATAGCCTTATAGCAGCGCTCGGCACTAACAACTTTACAAACATGTTTGAGATTTTTATTACTGTGTGAAAATGTTCGATTCTTCCGTGAAATCCGGGCTAGTAAGGATCAAACAAATTTATGGGTGGGCGCAGCCAGATCTGGCAGGCCAGATCACTCAGTGCGGGAAAAACTTTTCATTGTGATTGATGGACGGATGGATGGATGGATGCCCATGCCACAAAAACAGCAGCGGTAGCGGCCAACAGCATTCCCAGAGGGATTTTGATTATAGACAAGTTGTCGGTGGATTTTTATTATTGTGGAAATCGATCAAACCACTTGACGGCTGATCAAAGACAGCACACAGCGAACATTTTTCGATATCTCTCGCATTTTAATGCGCGTATTTTTTATCCAATTTAATTATAGTGAATTTCGAATTTCAGTTTCGGTTTCTTTTGTTTGCGATATTAAAATGTTTTCAGCTTTCGTTTGCTGAGTTATGAAGATTCGTTTTTAATGAAAGTTGATGAGGTTCAATTGCAGTTCGAAATGTGAAATTACGATCGATTAAAATTTTTGAAAGTCAAATAAAGTGAAATAATGAAATGGTAAATTAGCGTGAAAACAGAGTGCGTTTGCAAGTAAAAAATGTACATAAATTAATAAATTGTTGATGGGAATAAATTTCAATGCTAATAAAAGTAATCACTAGGCAGCACTGATAAATTTATAAAACAATTTCCATTTTGTTAGCTGTATGAAATTTCAAATCTTTATTCGGACTTAAAGATAAAACTTCAATGAAACTATTGCTTGAATTTGAAACTTATTTATGAGAACAGATTAGATAATAAGAAGCAACATTGTTGATTTTCTTTGTGCAACTGAAAGGATAACAATATTGCATTGAACATACTTCCCCCATAACTTGATTACTCGTTAGTTGTTGGCAACAATGTGTAATAAAGCAAAACTTCCGCCGAGCAACCGAGATAAATCCGCTCAGGACGAGGACAATAACAAGCTGAGCCCGAACTGGTCCGATTGTCTGGCGGATGGTTGGTTCGTTGGTTGGTTGGTTGCCCTGGCCACATATACCCGGCAGAAAGAAACATTTGTCTCGCTTAATTTAAACAGATTTGCGAGATTATTGTCATGCCGACGTTGAGGCAGCAGTTTCAATTCGACCGTAGACAACCCGCAGTGCCAGCTGACAGATGGGGACAACGATTGGGGGGCGAATTAAGCGAATCGAGAATCCCTGAATCCCAGGGACTCTCTGCCGAATGCCCCATTCCATTCCATTCATTCGATGGGGGGGAGAAAGTTGCTGGGCAAACCAGAGCAAACCAACCGCGGTGATGCAAGCGAGTGCAAGGCAAATCTCCTGACAGCCGCGAGCCGGCAACTTTTAATGTTTTCTTTTTCTGATTGTATGGTGCTTGTATGCTTAGGCCTCGGGATTTCCGAGTGGGATGTTTGGATTGCAGAACAAATTTGCGGAGAACGTTATGCAAGTGATAGGGCGACAGATCGGGGGATCTGAAGAATGCTGCTTCTGCTGGATGATGATGATTCCCGCTCGGTCCATATTAAAAACGCTTTGAAGTCGCACCGCGGCAGCGAGAGGTGTCTGCGGCGCGATTCCAGCTCATGTCGGGCTTGACACGATCGGAGCGCTCTCTTATCCCAGATCCAAGAGCCCAGATCCCCGATCCCAGTTGAAGACTCCCAGATCAAGCCCGACAATCTGACGGCCCGACTGATGCACATCTAGATGCAGATCCAGATGCTGATGTTAATGCGGCCTGCCCACTTTTAATTGTTAATGAACGGCAACGGGTGGGGAAACTTAAGATGCACTTTTAAAAAAAATAATATATATATATAGTAATTTGTAGACCATTTACTGATATAATAAATTGTAAAAGTAATGATAAAATTATAACCTTTAAGTCGTAAAAATCGAATTTATTCTGACAATAGAAAATAGATGTTTGACAAAACAGGTTGGGAATTTTTAGATGCAATCGAGCCACAGTTCGAATAAATATTAAGGTTGTGATCATTTTATGCTTTTACTTCGGATCAAGTTCAAATATTTTTGAGCATTGTGAACTTGAAGGTAGTTTTAATTTACTTATAATAAGTTTAGCCTTGATTTCTAGTTCTTTTATTTTTTTAAGTGCACACACTCACTTGACAGCCTGAGCGGCTAACTGCCTTGGACAGCTACTCGTTTCCGGAAGTTTATCTCCGCTGCAGCGGAGCAGCAGCAGCTGCTTGAAAGTCATTAGACTCCGTCAGCCTTGTCACTCAAGCGGCGTTTTGCTACGGCTTCGAGCCGAGACTTTGAGGCTCCCTAACGGAGACAGACATTTGATCTGGCCTGTCAGCCAGAGCCATGTCAAGCTGTGTTTGGACAGCATGTTCGTATTGTCGGATAAGATGCGAAATGAGACAGGCTCTAACCCTTTGGGAGAAAATCATTCGACGGATCATGACTTAATGGTAAAAACAACTAATTGGGGAAAGGATAGGAAATCGTTTCTCGACTGAAATGTCACTTGAAATTTCCTTACGCCAAATAAGATTTTGGCAAGCAATTTGGCTTGACCGAAATTTTTTTGCATTTTTTTTTAAAGATTTCTAATAATCAACTATGCCTTGAAAAATATTACGTACAGTTCATAGAACTGTAGTAAGCCTTATTTAACAAAAATCAGACCTACAATTCGAAGGTGCTATTGAACCCTAAACTTTAATCTCAAAATGCTTCAAGCTTGTAGACCACTAATTTCGCAATGTGGATTCCAGCTAACGAGGCGCAGTTTCTGCGCTCTATTCAAAACTAAGGTAAATTTAAAGTCAGAAGATTTCGAAGAGATGGAAACCCCGGCTAACAGGCAAAGAGTTGAGCTACCAAAACCGGAGAAAAAGCTGAGCAAACGCTATGAGGAGTTTCGGGAGAAGCTGCGATCGGAGGCGCCTCAGGGACCCCTTCCTGAATGTGCACCACATCCGGCCCACGAAAAGGAGCCACTGAAGCCCTGGCCCAATAATACCAATCCACATACTGGGGAAATCGGAGGACAGGCGGGTCCAGAACCCACGCGCTATGGCGACTGGGAAAGGAAGGGAAGAGTCACGGATTTCTAGGAGAATCCCATCTTCACCTCGACACCTTTGTTTGGACAATTTCTGATTTATTAACCGCGTTAACAACAGAAGCACTCTCAATTTGTTACACGCTCGCTGGGCGGGGAAAACTGTGTGCGCTACAGTAGCCCTTCGGTAGGGAAACCAGATCAAGATGAGGAAAATCAAGATTCACCGTGCTGCTGCTGCTTCTGCGAAGGCATTACATAAATTTCATTGTGTGATTTCTTTGTGGTTTCATTCGGAGAGGATTTGTGGATGGCCCTGCCATCAAAAATAAATTGATAGCCCTTTCTTTTGGCCGTCGGCAAGGGGTTCTCAGAATAGAGAGTCGCGACCGAATCTTCTACTCCCATTATTTATGGTTCAGGGGCAGAGAATCGTGCCTAAGTTGAAATTATTTGGAGTGCTGTTTGGTGGGGCTTCAGTCGAATCGTTTCGATTCATTTGAAATTAAGGCGACAGTTTACGTGATTTTTATTAGAAAAACTTCTGTTCGTCTTGGGTATCTGTATTCGGCTTCTAATTTTGTAGCCTGAGTGCGTTTGACGAAGACACATAAAGGGGGTTTTTAAATGCCATAAATTTCATTGTTAAGGCCCTGAAAAACGTTTTTGTGGTTTAGTGAAATTTGTTGGAAATTTTCGAAGAAGATTTGCAGCTGTTTTGCTTTGACACAGTGTCTGTTGACATTTTTGTGGGCTTAACTCTGGATTTGTTAATGAACACAAATAGAAAATTGGTGAAATGCTTATAAATCTTTCCCAGCTAGTTAGTAATACAACTATTTATTCCAACGATCAATGACTTAAGAAATTTCAACGCAATCCGTTAATTCCAAATGTACATCATCATCTATTTACACCTCTAATCAAACGCCGACGCCGGCAAAACGCCAAATCAAAGATCAATCACAATCCTACAAATTAACCACATAAAATGCTTGAAAGAAAGATAAATTCCGCATAAATTCCAGGAAATCCACGAAATGCTTTAATGTATATACACGAAATTACACAGCAGCTAGCAGCTGACTCTGGTAATCCACGAAAAATTCCCCAAATCGACAACTTGCCCAATGTTCAACAGAACAGCGCGAGAAGCGACGACTTCCTCCATAGTCATCCATCAAATGCGATTTTCCCCTTTGACGAAGGACGGCGGGTTGAAATGGCCCCTGCAACGGCAATTATTTCGTCTATTTTATTTTTAAACGAAATTAACGTGTTGCTTGTTGTTGCTAATGTGTTTTTATTACGTGAAAAGTAAGGAAAACACACGCATACCGCTCTTCTCAAGATCATTTTATAACCCAAACCCAAACCGAACGGAACGGAACCAATACGATCCAATCCCGTATACCCGTCTCCATTTCGAAGATCCTCTCCTGTTGCGCCGCTTGGTCGCAAAGTAGTAGGCGCTGATTGATAGAACAAAGTGAAAATCAAATAAAAAACAAAACATAAAATCCCCCAACTGAACCACATTGCGGCGCAAGATCAAAGACCGCCCCTCGATCTGTAATGACAGCTTTGATCATTGTTTTGCCTTTGATTTTTTCCGGTTACGTTTCTCTCTCACTTGGCCTGTTCTCTTTTTTTTTGGTTTTTGGTTTTTTTCGACTGTGAGATGGTCGAATGCATACGATCATCAGTCTTGTCGAGCCGAGAGATCTCGATCATATCGAGAAAGTACTTGGAATTGCGGGAACGGGTGGCCAACAGGCTGTTTACGATCCATTTCGCACCCACTTGAGAGATTTCGCCCATGCCGAATTCATTTACAACTGGCGAAAACTCAGCACCGTCGGCACTTTCGAAGGCTCTTGCCGGAATTGGGGAAACTACACGTCTTAAACAAGTATTCACGATAATATGAGTCAAAGACTTACAAAACATTCATGCACACAAATTTCAGAACTATTAGAATAATTAGAAATTGCTAGAAAATTGTTCTGTGGCTTTTTTATTATATTTCTTCTTTTAATTTTAATAGAATTTTGCGTTCTCATGTTAAAATTTATTTTAACAGACAAACTTACTAAGCTTTAACTCTGAAGACGTAAATTCACAATTTAATATCGCATTTTTATATAAACCTTTAACCGTTTATCTTTTTGAAGGTTACTAATGTTCTCCAATCAAAACGTTTTGTTTATTCCCCGGAATAAAATGTGTTAGTGATTTATTATTTTGTAATCGCCTTTCGACAATTTTGTAAAGACATTTATTAAAAAAATTACTGAAATAAATCACTACTGAGTCAACATGGTAATTTTAGCTTTAAAATTAATTTTAAACACCTGCGTGTAAAAAGCTCTTAAATAATCTTGCTAATCAACTTTTATGAAATCTTAAATCTTTTAAAGAAGGCTTTATATGGCAGTAAATTATTATAAAATAAAAATTTTACCAAGTCATTGTCAATCCATTCTTAACACAAACCCAAAAGCAGGATCATGTAGACAGTGAGGAAAATTGAAGAAAAAAATGCGGGTGCCAAATGGAAGCAGCGGGAGAAGGTGAAAAATCGGCAAAATATATGACCAACTATTATGTTATTGTGTGAACGTGCACTGATTTCACCAGCCGGGCTTTTGCTTTTGTTCACCGAACAGTGTTTTGTTGGGTGCGCCCATGAACACGGGGTTTTCCACCCACCGCCCACCGCTATTCCACACGGAGAGGGCGTCTTATCGGAGCGTATAACATATATCATTGACACTTTGACATTGCCAGTTTGGCTGCGGGGAAGGGGAGGTTGCGAAGGTCCAGGGCCATGACCAACAGGATTTTAGTACTTTTCAAAATGGCACTTAATCATGGCAGCCGCCTGGCGCAGGAAAATGCGGAAACTGGCAACAACAAGGACACACACCAAGACGTAATCGCATGTGTTCACGCTTGAAAGGATAACGACGACATGGTTGGGAATCGGTATTGGAACTCCCGCTGACTACTTCCCTGATTCCTTCTCCTTCCCCCAAACTCCTCTCCTGGCGTATCGACCAAAGCGAAACAAGATTAATGACTTGGCAAAAGGAACTCTCAGTGCGAAAATCTATATGTGTTTGTGTTTGTTTGAGTGTGTGTGTGTATTGGGATGGCTCCTTTCTGGCATTCGATAAATTGTTTGCTACTTGGACTGTCATTAGTCGAAAAGTTTGTTTGTTATTGTGTTAAGTGTTATTTGTGTGCTCACGTCCAAGTGTCAGGCTCTTTGGCATTCCTCTTCCTCTTCCTCTTCCACGGCACCATTTTCACTTTTCCTCTCCGTCGTTTATCACTTTCGTTCTCGTCCCGCCGAAGGATAATATTCGCCTGTCATAGATGACTCACACCTTCCATCTCGCTAAGCCAGTGATGACCGCAAAAAAGCCGTGGAAGAAAAATTAGTGAAGCTAGGGGAAAAATAAAAGAGAGATGGCATTCCTTAATGATCGCTGGGTGACTTTTGAAATGCAAGATTTATTGTTCCTAGAGAAGTGATATGGGGGATTATATTAACCGAACTAGAGGATGAGGAATGGTTTTAAGCTACAGTCTATAGTTTTATTATAAGTCAGGCGTTTCAAGAAGTTTATCAATTTTTTTAATATATTTATAGCCGTAAAAATCGCCCTTGAATCAATAAACTAATTCTTTGAACGCCATTTTTTGTTGTATTTTTTCAATTTCTTTAAAGTTCCATTTTATAGTGGAATCCCTTCACTCCCACGACAAAAAACTGCCATAAATTCATTAGCGAAAAATGTTGAAGAGCGCGCCAGCGGAAAAGGACGCGGAGTCAAAGGACCAAACATAAACAGGAAGCAGAACGCGATGGCCGCAATATACAACAATTTACAACCTAAATCAAATGCAGTTGAATGACCAACACAGACGCCATAAATCACTTGGCCGCTGGGCTCCAGACGATGGCTCGGGTTTCTAGCCAATATTTTAGAGAGGCAAACCCACCCAAAACGGTTGGGCAAACAAGGCGGGGAAAGGCGGAAAAGGACTCGAAATCCGAGACCAAACGGAACAGGGAAAGGAAAAAGATTTCGTGAAAAGGGCAAATGCAATATGTTATCAAATAAAAATGTTACAAGCGACGACAGGGGAAAGGCGAACGACAAGCACCGAAAAGGAAAGAAAGAAATGTGTTGCACAAATTTATTAGAAACCTTAACTAACGAGCAATATCCTTAGTGGATCGGGGTTGTACTCCTGCTGCTGCTGCTGCTTACTGCTACTTTTGCTGCTGGATAGAATGAAATCCAAGTGATGTGTCAAATGTTAAGACATTACAAAGCACTAAAAGGCACAAGGACAAGCCCCAGTGGAGGTGGTGGTGGTGGTGCTCCGTCGAGCAACAGGAAAACAAATCGAACGTGTGCCCAATGCCATCAATCTTTTGTTTTTATTGCCAGCCCAAGGTCCCTGTCAAGCGATTCTCGTGAATTCTCAGTCAGGATTCAGGGTTAGCGGGATGATTGCGGGGTGCAGGACATGTGTGCGACAGTCGGGCAGTCGGGACTTGTGTGCCCGACATTAACTCGACAGGATAACAAATCTGTTAAATGTGACAAACGAGCTGAGTGCGCTGGTGTGCGTTTTCAGTATTATGTGAGCCATCTCGGAAGAAAAGGCAAAAGGCCAGGCAGGAGTCAAGTTATGTGGGCGGCAGGAGCAACCTTCACCTTCTCTTATACCCATTCCTACTTCGATTCCCATTCCAATTCCATGTCCTGTGGTGTTTCCATTGACCTTTTCCCGCTGCGCATCCCCTGATCCCAACTGATCTCTCCTGTTATGTTTTTATTGTGTGTGTCTCGCTGCTTTTTGTGGGAGGAGGTGACCCGGCAAGAACTGTCACTGGCTAACGATGATTTCATGGTGGTCAAAATGCAATAAATTTTTATTGGCACCTATTATTGAGCGACACACATAGAAGACATTTGGCCCAGTACAATCCAAGCCGAAAAAGGAGCAGGCAATTTATGAGCCAGGCTATTGGCCTGCTGCAATTTCTTTCCTTTTCAGTCCGCTCACTGTGCATGCATGTCACACAGGTCCTTTTCGAGGTCCTGGTCTTGAACTGACAAAGACGTCCTGCGGCGTTTCAGCTCGCA